AATAATTTGAATTTTTAGAGGACAGTGGCGTAGTTAGCGGTCTAGGTTTTCCAGCACGGCAAGACTGAAAATTCCATAAAAATGAACACAGTCAATTCTATTAATTTAAGGTACACACAAGAACACAAGTAATTTTAGAAGACAAAATTTCAAAATTTCGTCGTCAAAATTTCGTTTTATCTTTAATACCAAGTTACAAAGATTTTGCGAGTTTCTTAGCAGCAAATCTGTTTTTAATGCAGTTTCTTTTTCACTTTCTCACATGCAATTCGAGTTTACTCCTGCCATTTGTGAGCAGGAATGTCTATAATAAACACTAGAAAAATACGACCTTTCTATTGGATAATATTCCAGTGTGTCCTTGTTATTGGCCTTTTATTAAGCTTTATAATCCTGCCATTTGAAATGAGAAGGAAAAACAGTTGTAACTGAATTATAATAACTACAAAAACGCTGAAATTCTATTGGTTAATATGCTAGTGCTGCTTTTTTCTTGCATTTTCAAATAAGCTTTAGTCTTGCATTTAAAATAGCAGACTATCCAGGATTATGGAGAAATCAATACATTATTAGGAACAATGAATTAAGCAAACTAGTGTTGTTGTTTATCAAAAACCTATCCTTATTATAATACATGTGCGAATTGCGGTTATCGTAAAGGCATCATGTATGATATACCACGCATGAGTGATTCGTTGTTGTAGTATTCTCGTCAAGCAGCAAACGACAGACTTGTAAATATCGCAGTTATAAAGCAACATGATCTAACTTGTTTTATAGTCAAATTTAGATGTGAATTCAAATTGGAATATTTACAACCGCTCTAAAACACAGCTACGACGATGCCTATGTGCCTTCGAGTAATAAACGTTTGTTTGCATGTATTATATATTAAAAATTAGAGTTACAAAATTTAATAAATTTGTCTTGAGGGCTGCTAAATACCTAAATCGTCTGTACTCTTCGATGTTATAGAGCATGCCCAACTTTTTTAGCTCGAGACGTCACTGTTACGGGGGATAGCCATGGGGTTAGGGTTTGTGTGGAGTTCATTATGTATTTAAAAAGCAACAATCTTAAAAATATTGAGAATTAACAAGCATTTAATGACTTTATTGAGTTACCATGTTTGGATCGGCTGATCACCAACACGATTCCGTCTTTAACAAAAAGCATTTTCGCAATGTTCTTAAAGCATTAAATTTTAACTCTCTAGTAATACCTCCCGAGATAAAATACTCAAGACTTTCGATAAAGTGTCTCATATACCCTGACTCAAAAATGAGAATTTTTTGCGAAAATAAGAAGTGCCAGTGATTTAGAATATTTCGCAGCAGCACGATTGAAATGAGGTATTTAAAGTGATATACGACAACTTTCTTTAAATTTTGTAATGCACACATGTTTCGGCAAAATTATGCCATCGTCATGCCGAATAACATGTAAATGATTTACATAGAGTTCATTTATAAAGAAATATGATACATAACATGTGTATAGACAAAAGAGATAGATGTGAAAAAATTTATTATATTGTTGTGATTAAAGTGCTTCTTTAAGATTTATCTACGCGCATTCCTTCCATTTAAAACACAAAGCAATGTGCATCAAAAAACTTAAAACTAATCTCAACAAACAAATTCAGAATATCAATACTAGGCCCTTAATAAAAGAGCTCGAGGTCTTTACGGAGAATTATCGGAGTGGCGTCTTTTTGTACAGACCGAGCCCGTAAGGCGAGATGTCTGATTTTTTTTAGTAAAGACTGAGAAGCGAGGTTCGTAAAAGGCTTATTATATGGCATTATTTAACCTTAAACGAAACTTGCTTTTATTTTCATCTTTGCTGTTTTGAACGGGTTGACTTTCACTTTTCTAGCTTTTTTCAGTAAAAAAGAAATCGTTTCAAATTGTATCGTCTGGATAGTTAAACTGTTTTCCAAGTGTTTTTCCTTAGACTCACATTCGTAAATGGTTTTTTGTTTCGTTTATAGGTTCCGTTATTCTTTTTAAATGTAGATCGTCCTGGTTGGTATAGTCTTGAGAAGGACTGTTGTTGTTGTTGTTGACTGACGTTTCAACAACCCTAGCGGTAGTCATCTTCAGAGTCAAAAAACTACAACGTTGTTGTTGTTGTTGACTGACGTTTCAACAACCTTAGCGGTAGTCATCTTCAGAGTCAAAAAACTACAACGTCATTAAGTATTTTCGTCGTATAGAACGTCATACGATTCGCTAAATTAAAATTAATAAATAGAGCAAGTACGCCGTTGCCTGCAAGTTTTGACTAAGTTGGAGGAATGGGTAAGCTTAAATTTGGCCTACGATGGGTCAAAATCATGTTTTACGTGATTTTGCATGTTTTTGAGCATTCGTTTTTACAAAACTTAAGCGCTGTTTCGTGTAGATATCCTTCAGATCAAAATATCCTTATGCGTTTGTAAGTTTAATTACTTTCAAAAATCATTATTAATACGGGATATTATTGTTATTACTATATAATAATAATACATAATAAAAATGATGATTATTATTAACATAATAAATATTAACACGGGAATGGTATTGTTTCGACGTTGTGTTAGCAGGTAATCAAGCAAAGTTGAAAGTACTCTGGTTTCTATTTACGAGGAACTAGTAACGTATTATCTTACGAAAACTATTCCCTGCAGCATTTGACACTTTATGATAGTACAGAGTGAACGGATGAGGATGACTTATTGCAAATTTAACGATTAAAATATCACTTCCATATTCGTAAAAGACAGCATTTCTCGTAAATTACCATAAAGATTGTAAATGCCATATCTATAGATAACGGATTATCAATGCCGTGACTTAAAATAATGTGGGTTTATCAACTAGAAAATATATCTATAATATAAAGCAGAATACTTTGTTTCCATTTCGGCTAGAAAGGAATTTTGGCAACGTTTCAATACCGTTGTTTCCAACCCAACAGATGTATATGAAAAAAAAATTTTATTAAACTGCATAATCCAGAAAAAAACAAATACAAATCCTATATGTTAGCATTTATTAAAGTATTCCCGAAATTAAAACTTGACAAAATGTTTCGATGATAAAACTGATAAAACGTCCCTTCTTTTATCCAGTCTGCTGCACCCAATATGATCTCTCGAGAGACCAAATTGTGAGGTCTTATGCAATTCATTAGGTCCTGCTTTTCATCATTTCTTAAAGATTTTATCTTGTCAAGGTATGCCTTTAAATGGGTGACAATGCACAATCTTGGATCAATAGGCTATGCTAAAAACTCCAAAGGTTTCTGGTGTGTACAAATTAACTGGAATGTTTTTTAATTTTTCTTTTATAACAACAGCGATTTACTAATTTCTCCCTTTCTTGTACTGGGTTGGATATGGTCTCCTCCCACTGTTCAATAAAAAAACTTTAGGGATAATATCGTGTTAGGAATAATATTGTGTATATTCTCTGATGATGTCTTTAGAATAAAGTCGAAACACGTTGCCATCCTGAAAAATGCTATCGTGGTGAGAATTTCTTGTCTATAAGCAGTTTAGAAAAGATTTGACATGTATTCATTCCGAGCGGGCTTGTTAGCTCAACAAGTAGAGCGGCGTACTAGTTCCCGAAGGTGCGAGTTCAAGTCTTATCCATTTCACATGTTTTTCATGTGCATTTAAAAAGCCTGTTTCAAATAACATTGTGTATATTCTCTGATGATGGCTTTGTTGTGGCTAGGTATAGTTTCCTCTCTGTGATTGTGGTTAAGATTATTTATGTCCGCTACCTTATCTGAGATAGGGGGAACAAAGCCATCAGTAGGTCTAAAGGAGTAGTCTATAACACTAAGAAACCTGTCAATTTCCTTCTCTAAATCATTCCTTCCGAAAAGGCTAATAGCATCAGCCTCACAAGGGCGCACTGAAACAACGTTTTCCCTGTTAAATGAATGTTGAGCTTCCCCTGAAGCCAGTGTAAGTGCTTCCTCTAAAGCTGTATGTGTTGCCTCCTCTAAGGTTGATGTTATAACTTCCTCATCGCTTCCGCAATGCTGTAACGCTGTCAGGAGCGGATCCAGGATGATGCCACTGATGCTGATGCATCAGTCAGATTTTTAGATGTTGCAAAATTTTCGTTTTTCAAAAAAACTTTCAAAAGTGAAATAAATCAGCAAAAATGTATACAGTTAGCCCTATGCCTTACTAGTGAATTAATTCAAAACGTTTTCCTTAAGTAAACAGCTGTTTATACATGATTAAGAAATTTACACAAAGTATTATAGAAATGAAAACAAATTCAGTAAAATATCCATTTAACCGAAAATATTTACCAAAATATAGCGATCGCTTAAGCAATTTTGACAAAAATGTAATTATATTCTAAAATTAATGCAGTCGTGTATAAGTCCAAACAGTTCAGTGTCTTAACGTCACGTTGGGGCGATAGTGCATCACTATCGTCACGTTGGGTGAAAAGTGCATCAGCAGTGCAACAGTCCCGAGTAAATTTGGCGGAGTTTACCCTACAAGACGTCATGAATACTAATGTTTTGTTGCCTACTTTGCGTTGGGAAACGGCTGCTGAGTAGTGCACTAAGCCCACGATCAATTGGAGTGGATCAGTGACTGATGCACATAGCCTGCGCTACAATTACACTTGGATTACGGATATATCTTTATTTGTAGTTTTTGATTTATAATGGCAGAATTTGTGCGAAGCAACTTCGATCTTTGGTCTCTGTTTCACAAGGAAAAGACTACCGAAATTGCCATTATTAGAGCAGTGTTTCAAACAAGATTGTATGAAGCAATTTCTCGTATGAAGCGTAGAGGCCCATTTCGAAGTGGAAAGCAAGTCAGAGCTTTGTATTCTGAGCTTCGTATTCCCAAGCATATAACTAGCACATGGAACTTGCAAGGAGAGTTACGAGCTATAAAGTAATTTTCAAATTTTGCCACGACAAACTCTTCGAGGGTTTAAAAACACGTTAGGCGAAAGGTAAAATCTTTTAAATTTAAAAGTTGAAGAAAAAATGTTTAATTGGAATTGTTAATAATATCGATTAGGATCAACGTAAACTACAAATACTATTACAAGAATTAGCAAGTTTGGTAAATTAGATTACAAGATATTCATCCATGTACTCTTTACAGAAAGAAAATAAGTCGGATGGAGTAGCATTTGTGATTAAGCAAAGCGAATTATGAGAAAAAATAGTCACGATAATCTGTATAGTTGTTTGCTTGACCAAGACACAAATTTTTTGACGATACTACTTTACATATTTACACAATACAGTCGTTATCGCATGGCCTTATTTTTTCATTGAACTAGAGCAGTTAGCAAGTATTATATCAAAACAGGAATTGATAAATTTTTGAGCATGGGCTTCTGAAATTGTTGTACGAGATTTTATTATCCAGGTTAACTTTCCATTAATTGTATAAGGGAAATGTGCAAACAGAGTGTTTTCATTTGGCATAATAGGAAATATGTAAGAGTTTTTCAAGGTGTAGGTGATTGGATCTCCTTCCTGCTTACGATGAAAATTGAAGACGCCGTAGCTGGAGATACTATTACTGTTGCCTTTTAAAAAAGAATCTTTATCGAATAACATCTTCCTCAAAATGTTTGGATCAAGAACACTCATGAACGATAATTCTTTCACAAAAGTTTTTTTCCCCAAAATCTCTTTTAATTGTGCTGTGCTTTCTTTCGCCATTATCCAAAAGTTTTCTGGATTAGCATGTGAGTACTTGAAACAATGATTTTGAAAGTAAGCGAAAGCGCCAAGGTAGTCATCTGGAGATTTGGGATCACATAAAGAACGATTGTTAATGGGAAGCAATGTTTCTGTGTTTATTTTTTGTTCATATTTCTCGTTTAATAATTCGTAGAATGCCAGATGTACAGCAGCTGTTATTGCTCCAGTTACTGTACAACCGTTGTCTTTGCATGCGTCAACAATTGACTTGGTTTCTTGCTCGGTAAATATTCTTAAACTTATCCGCTCACGTTTATCGTAAGGGATTTTATCACGTTGTAGAGGTGGGTGCTTATGGTAGAATGGATTGACTGCTTTCTTTTTAAGACAGTAAAAAATCATTTTCTCTAAAAGAAACTCCAATATTGGACGAAGTCCAAATTGTGAAACAATGAACCGAAACAAAGAATGACTGATTCTTTTTTGTATTACCAAGCTGTGTGCGCTAGGTAATAATTCCAAACTTGTTACATATTTATCCACGTTGCTGACGCCACTGGATATCTCATTCATATTGTTGAGAAATTGCTGAACAAACTGGACGCAAGCAATACCATCAAAGCATGAATGCTTTATTGCAAACATTATCATATTTGAATATTCTTGTGTTGTTGAATCGAACTCTTCTTGAAGTATAACAGCTTTCCATGGCAAAGAACTTTTATGTACGGTAGAGGTGTACTTGTACAGTATATCTTTCCAATCCGATATTTTAACTTCAGACCTTGTAATATCAAATAACTTAATGGCATCTACTACATTTCTGATATCAAAATATTGTTCTCCATCGTTGTTTATCGATACCACTGCTCGTAACATTGGTTGACGTTTTGCTAACAATACTAAAGCATCGTGAACATGTTCAAAAGATAAACTTTCTTTTGATGTTAATGTTATACAACACGATAGATTTCCACTGCCATCAAATGAATGTGACAAAATTTCAGTTAATGTCTCCAAGAAATCCAACCTTCTGCTATTTGGATTACCGTTTACGATTGTTGTTGAAGTAATCCACTTCAAGGCCTTCCATGTCAAAATAAGAGAAAGAATAGACACAAATATTTGCACAAACCAATTATTTATCGCTAAATCTAGCAAAACCATCTTTCCAATAAAGCAGCCGAACGAGTAATAAGGAATTCAAATTCGATTTGTTGTTTGCAAACTATTTCACAGTGAGTGAACACTAAATATTTGCATCGGAGAACAAAGATTGTAGCTCAGGCTTCAGAGTGCACTTGTCGTGAACGTAAAATGTCATTCGGTCGGGAAGATCTTGTTTTTCAATGATCTTCAATTTAAGAATTTGTTTTGCGAAATCTAAATATATATTTGAAACTTTATTTTTAAATCAAATATTTAATAAAATCATGCAGCATGAATTATGCAAATGAGAACTACCATTAGGAAGTGCATATTCTGTCCGTTGATCGTATTAATAGTGTATTTAGTCTCCTGTCCTCGTCCCAGCAGCGAAGATTATACAATCAAATTCATGTCAAAAGCACAATATAGCTTGTACTTGTACACTATATCTTTCCACTCAGATATTTTTACACCAGACTATTCAATATGTGAAATTTCAGGATTTGTAGCTCCTATTTCACCAAATCTATTCACGCCATCTTTCCTTTTTCCATTACAACAGTCGAACAATTAATAAGCATTTGAGTTCTATTAAAACTGGAGCGGCTATCTCAATCACGGCTTTAGATATTGGATCACTCGTGAAAATTGATTTCATGGGGGGTAACGGTCTAACGAAACTTTTGTATTAAAAAATGCCTGTTTTCGTGTTTTTACTCCTTTTACAAATATCTGATTAAAGCAAAATTTCCATGAGATGTAGACGAACACCGGTAGAGGGTTTTAACTGTAAAGCTCAACCTTCACGAACAGTTTTCTTGGCTTTGAAACGACTGAAAAATAAGATGGCAAGTTGTATTGAAATTTGAAAGTTGAGGGTGACGAAGACAGTTTCAGTTGTGCGAGGCATTTTTAGAAAATGAATTCTTAAACGCGTTTGAGAATGAATATGAATAACAAAAAAGTACAAACAAAGGTATTCATATCTTCAATATATTCTTCGATATTGAAGTTGTTCTTGAAGGAACTGGTTTAAAACTTTGCCTCGCTAAATGAAACACTGAGTCGTATTTTCGCATATTTTCATGATATACATCTCGTGTAGTTTGATGATACTGATATAATAAAGACGTCTGTTAAAATTATTATGATCTCAGCGATACCGATGTAAAAAAACCGAAACAAAACATTTAAATTTTTCAAGAAGCCGAAATGCTTTGAACAATTGTATGTAGCAATCCTCCATGAACGTCATTGCAGATAAAATTTTAGTGACAGTATTAAGATCCTGTAATATTTCCGCATTTTGAAGAAGCAGCATCATCATATAATCTCCAGTTTGTTTAAAAAATAAGCAGGTCGACCTTGAGCCATCTCAATTTTCTGGCATTATAAAGCCAAGAAGATAAACTTTCTAGGACTAAATACCTTTTCCGGTCGTCCTGCCCTTTCATAAAAATATTGCTCTAATCAAAGTTTATAGAATGAATAAACTTGTTTTCTCGATTAAACTCTTTAGTCCATACAACAAAGTAGTAATAGTTTATCTCCACGGTTCACGAGAGAAAAGTTAGCTTATTTGTTACCATTACATTTTTGCTTTTTCCATGCTTGGCTTTTTTGCCACAATTGTAGGATTTGTACTTATGGCTGTATAAAATTAAATAATAAATATTTGTAGAGTATGTTAAGTCTTGTTAATATCAATGATTTTGTGTTATTGTATTTTATATAAAATTTCATAAAGACTCAAGTTTGTATAAGTTTAATAAATGAAAACGAATAATATTGCATAGAAATCACTAAATAAGCTTTCTGATATGTGTTGCATCTGGTGTTGCGTTCATACAAGAATGATGAAGTGGATGTAGATATGTTATAGCATGGCGATAAAACCGAATGAATTAAAATCACTTTGTGTACTTTTATGCTAGAAGCTTTAAAGCTTTTTAGAAAAACCATACATAAACTATTTTGCAAATAGATTGCTAAATTTACTATTTCATACATTAACCAAGACCAGAAAAGTTTGAGGATTTATACAAACAAAAACAGAAAAACATCAGTATATAAGGCATTCAAGTCAGTCTTAAAAAAATACGATCGTTAATACGTTTTTTATGAATTTTTAAGTGCATGTATACATTTTAATCGTTGATGAACTGACAAAACAAGCAAATATCTCACCTAGGAAAATGTGACTTTTTATGGAAACTACGACATCCAACAATTGAGCAATTGTATTGTTAGCATTATAAAAGTTATGCCAAAATGATATCTTGTTTTTTTTGAAAAAGTCTGTATAATTGACCATAGACATCATTGGGATGGCGAGAATACTTTTTCTGCAAAGCGATCATTTCACATAACGACGTAAAGTAAAGGAATGGCGAGACAATAGTGATCCGAAAAAGAGAGAAATGCGGGCGAGGAGCAGTTAAGATACGAGTTAAAGCTACACGAAACTAAACTAAAACTTGAAGAAAATTCCTCGAAGGTAATTATTCAAAACAAGGGGAAGCAAAACTTCCAAAGCTCGTAATATCCAAAATCGATGGAGACTACATGGATTGGCAGTGATTTTGGGAACAGTTCACAAAATAAATCGAGAAGTCTGGACTAGCAAGTATAGCTAAGTTTTCGAACCTTAGAGAACTTCTCGGAGACAAAGTTAAACGTGAAGTAGAATCCTTACCATTCACGGCCGAAGGCTATAATAGAGCGAAGGCTATATTGGAGGAAAACTAAGGCAAGGAATCAGAGCTGGTATAGGCGTACGTAAAAGAGATTTTGAGTCTGCTGCACATCTTAACAGCAAATGCAAGAAAGGTTGCTGACTCCAGGGACAAGTTGACATATTGCGTCCAATCATTGCAATCGCTCAAAACGTTGAACGAAGTGAAAGGTCTTACTATGGTGACCATCAAAAGCTGCCGCAATACAAAGTGGACAGGTTAGGTCGGATGGTGACTGAGAAACAGGGAAATTGGACGAACTGAGAGAAGAACTACGCCTTTGGCTACGACGTAACCCAGTGGACACCAGTAGAAGCTCAAAAGACGATCAAATGAAGGAATGTAGGGAAAGAGAGAGAGAGTATATCTTGCTAACCGAGCCGACAAGCATAGATGGTGCTTATATTGTGATAGCAACGATCATAGAGCCGTCGATTGCACAAATGTAACCGCTATAGCTGACTGCAAGCAAATCCTGGGAAAAAAGAAGCTGTGCTTCAACTGCGCACTTGGAAGCCACCGTACTGCACAGTGTCCAAGCAAAACATCGTGTCAAACCTGCCACAAAAGACACCATACTTTGATATGCGACAAATTACAGGCAAGAGAAGCGCAAAAGGTGACCTTGACACCAAACGGAGTGGGCAAGGACAATTTTCCTTCTGTACTACTGAAAGTAAATGAAATAGTTACTAGAACACTGATCGATACTGGAGTGTGCAGCTCATATGTTTCTGCAAAGGTTGGGAGTCTGCTGAAAACGAAACCTTCATACGAATCTACTAGATGCCTCGAGATGTTGATGGGTTCCCATCTTACAAGAACGGAAACGTACGATGTTGTGATTGAATCTCTTGTCAATTCCTTCCGCATGGATACAAAGTTTATGAAGAGTAACAAAAGCGAACTTTTCACGATAGACAACCCACAGTTTAGAAGTATTAAGGCTAAGTATACACACTAGTCCCAAGTAGTCCTGACCAATGACAACAACAAAAAAACAACTACCTATCCATGTGTTCCTGAGTGATGGAGACTATGTTAGAACTAGAACAAAGAAGCCACCCTTAGTGGGAAACTCTGGACAACCGGTTTCAGAGCTTACAGAGCTTGGTTGGATTACCATCTCCGCTGAGAAAAAGTTTAACCGACAAACTTTACTACACACCCAGTTACCTACAAATAAATTGGGAAGTCTTCGTCGGTTTGAGCAACTTAACCAAAACGTTATCCGTGCCCGGACTGGCAGAAGGTATTGAAGAAGCTCGCACAGGGACCACAATTAAGGAGTTCTACATTCCACAAAAGGCTGTAGTGAAAGAGTTATCGGAGACTACAGAGTTACGTGTCTTTAACGACGCTCCAGCAAAGGAGAGTCCAACGTCCCCCTCTCTCAACGAATGTCTTAACTCTGCGAAATAAGCTATGGGATGTGTTGATTTAACAACGATCTTTCCTGTGTAGGTCACCAGCGATATACGACAAGCTTTCCTACAAATTAGGGTTAAGGAGACTGAGAGGGACGTGTGCGGTTTCATTGGCGTAGAAACGATTTGTCACCATTAGAGACCATAAGATTTACCAGAGTTCTTTTCGGCCTAACATCGTTCCCCTATTTACTTCATGGTATAATTGAAACTCACTTAGATACTTGGTGGAGAACTTATACCAAAGAAGTTGAGCAGTTGCAACGAAGCACGTATGTAGATGACTTAGTCAGCGGGGTGCTAACAGTTGAACAAGCCAAGACACACAAGGAGATTGCTCGAGAGATCCTACGGGATGCTACGTTTGAACTTCATAAGTGGAGTTCCAATATACCACAGTTGGAAGCAAGGGAAAACCAACAAAAGGTGAACCCTCAGACAGAGCAGTCGTAATCGAAGACACAGTTGATGGTAAAACCAGAGGAATCGAAAATTCTCGGTCTCAAGTGGGACAACAAAACTGCTGTCTTCACCGAAAATGTAGTAGAACGAATGCATCGCGAAACGATTCACGGAAGAGTGGAACTCACGATGGCAGCTGTGCGAGAATCATATCGGGTTCCTCGACTTCGTAGTCTAGTAAAACTAGTTTGCATTAAATGTTGGGGGTGCAAACGATTTCGACTCAACCCATATGTCACACCAGTAGCTGGACAGCTACCAGAAGACAGTACCACACCCGTTATGGCGTTCGAAGTGGTTGGAGTGCACTTCGCTGGGCCAAAGAAGTTAAGGAAGTCTGCTAAATGGAAATCCTATCTTGTTATTTTTGCGTGCAGTCTCTCAAGGGCTATCCATCTAGAACTTTTGCCAAATCTTTAAACTGAGACTTCGTCTCATCGCTTAAAAGGTTTA